AAGGTGGGCTGTACTCGTGAGAACATTTTTTTTTGTATTTCTTTAAGACCTGGCCTTCAATTAATCTACTGGAATCTTTTCCAACCAATCCTAGGGCTCCAACTACAACAGGTATTGTTGATGTTCCCATGTGCCACATTTTTGAGCTTTCGATTTCAAGATCTTTATATTTTGATAGCTTTTGGAAGATCTTCAAAGTTACATTTCAGTCTGCAGGGATTGCCATATCATTAAGGAGGTAATTGTTTTGTTTGTGGTCTCTAATAACAATGTCTGGGCGGTTGGCTTTGATTGTTCTGTTAGTGTGTATTGTGTAGTCCCATAAAATTGTAACAGGTTCTATCTCCGTAACCGGGTCTGGGTGATGTTTATACCAGTTTCTTTCAGTTTCCTTCCCGTAGAAGTTGCAGATCTTCCAGTGCAGATATTGGCCAACTCTGTCATGCCGGGTTTTATATTCAGTGGGTGCCAATACCTGATACAAGATGATCGATTGTTTCTGGGTAATTATCACAGAACCTGCATTTGGGACTAACACAATATTTTAGTATGTGTGCTTGATAATTTCTAGTTAACAAGCACTGATCCTGTGCAGCGAGATAAAACCTTCCGTTTCTGTTTTTAACTCTGCACTACGTAGCCACTAATGGGTACGGGTTTTGTCTACGTCAGCTTGTTTGGTACGGGCAGAGTATTGGCCATGAGGCGGTTTATCTTCCCATTGTTTCTGTATCTGGTCGGTTACATTTGCCTTTGATTTCTTTTTATGTATTTTGCAGCTTCAGTCTGTCATTGTATTTTACTTGTATTTCTGCATCTATTTGAAACTATATTTTGAACATGTTTTTATTATTATTATTATTATTTTGGATGTGTGGCCTAGTGATTAGAACGTTCGTTTTCTGACCATGAGACTCGGGGTCGATTTGTTAGGAAGTAAACTTCCGGATGTTATCGCTCTGAAAGCCATACCACGGGTACCCGTTGGTATGGTTGGGGGCCGTCGATAGCTGTGAAGTTACAAGTCATCGTGACCGAGGGTTTTAAGTGTACTTGCCTTGTTCAGATTGTCAATCACGCTCTTTCCCAGAAACTGTAACTAAGGTCTGATCAGCATAGTTGCAGTATAAACCACAGGTTGGCACTGTTGAACAAACACCAATGTGCCTGAGTGGGCGTCTGCAATAAGGATTGGCTAGCTGCCCTAATAGATGGGTATCCTCGAATACGAGTGGCCAGCTATTATTAATATTAATATTATTATTATTATTACAGTAGTGCACCGCTATTAGGCAAACCAATTTACCGCGGTACCCGGTGTACCGCGGGTGGATGATGAACCCCAAGATTTTGCTCTCGTTCTATCAATATCGCTGATTTTCTTAGAAATTCCATCCGATTTTACCAATTTTTGGGCCATTTTCTTCACGATAGACAGAACAAACAGCGATCATCAGATGGGTCCTAATTTGTTTTAATAATTGTACCCCATTTCCCCAAGTTTTACTTTGATTTTGATGAGCAAAACAGCCCAAATTTTGCAAAATTTTAACACCACAAACACGTACGATTTAGGGGTCGCTATCAGGAATTCCCGGGAATAAATTCTCACAACGTTTCGGTTGTTGCACGCTCCGGCCTTCTTCAGGTGGTTGGAGCAGCTGGTTGGAGCTAGATCATCAGCTGTGCCATGTGCCTTCAAGGTCACATGGCACAGTGGATAAAGGCGTTAGTTAGATCCAGTGACAGGACCCAAAGAGTGTGAGTTCAATACCTGGTTAAGGTAGTGGAGAACTTTAAGAGGGGAATTAACAGGAGATAACTGGCATCCATTTAACATGGCACGTGGAACTAGAACAGTCTACCCGAGTGAGCGAAATAAAGGGTTCAGTTCGACATTCCAACCACCTGAAGAAGGCCGAAGCGTACAACGGCCGAAACGATGTGATAAACATGGCGACAAAGATGAGGACATTATTCCGAATAATGTAAATAGAGTTATATTTATGTGTAAATTTTCATGCTTAATTCGAAAATAACAAAGAAATTTTGATAAAATCTACCTTTTTGGAGTTATCGACAATAAAAGTTCGGATACATTCGCGTCGCGGCAGCCATTACTGGCGTTGTTTGCATATATTTGCTGCAGATCAGACATTTACTTTTCTCGATTATTGCGCACGTACTGATGCAAACCACGCCAATAATGGTTGCAGTGCCGTTGTCAACTACGGAATGAGTCCGAAATTTTATTGTCGATAACTTCAAAACGGCAGATTTTATAAAAATTTGTTTGTTATTTTCGAATTAGGCATGTAAATTTAGAATGAAAAAATAACTGTTCGGGAGATTTTTATTAGATACTTAGCGCGGGGCTTAAAAAGCAAATTACCCGAATTTTCTTATGGAACCCTTGGCATAAATTAGTATAATTTTGGGGGGTTCTTTTCGAGTCATTATCTACGGTATATATCGCGAAATAGGGTCCAAAAATCAGGTAGGTGTTCAGCCTCCTATCTATCAACAACCCCCCCACCCCACCACCACCACCACGCAGCTACCGCGATTCACTTGCAACGCTGTTCAGCCATCTTGGACCCCAAGGCCCGTTCTATAGCAGTGGACTACTGTACAATTGTTCTGTTTGTTTCTTAAACCTTCCTCGTTGCTCACATGCTCAGTCTATGTAGTACGGAATACAAAGGCCAGGGCCAGAATGGTCAGGGATTGGACTGAGTACCTCGTGGGCGTGGTATTCTGACAATGATTGATTGCCTTTGTCTGGGTTTGGGATATCGCGAAATAGGGCCCAGAAATCAGGTAGGTGTTCAGCCTCCTATCTATCGACCTCCCCGCAGCTACCGCCATTCACTTACAGCGCGAGTAGGCCATCTTGGACCCCAAGACCCGCGCTATAGTGGTGGGCTACTGTATTACTGTATTATTATTTTCTTGAGTTTCTCTTGTTTCAGTGAAAACGGACAGACAATTCATGAACAATCTAATAAATAAATAGTATTTATTATTTTGGCTGTAAATTCTCAAGAACAAAGAAAAAAAAATGAATAAATTCACTTACATCATATGCTTAGGTTTTATTACAATTCTAATCATTGCTTTTTAAAACAATAAACATTGCCGAGGAGTGAAGGTAGTTAAAATAATAGCGATGTCTTGGGAAAAAACTTCCATTTGACACTCGGTCTTAATGCGAGCACGTTTATCCATGTTTGTCAATATTTTTCTATATACAAAGTCTGATCAAAAAGTACCAGGACTGGTGCTATAAAAAGAAAACTACAACACATATCAATCCGACATTTAATCTCCTTCAAAGTAATCCCATTCTGAAGCCACACACTTTATCCAGCGTCATTTCCTTTGATGGAAGCATTCCTGGAACTCCTTCTTTTGGGGACAGAAAACAGTTGCCTCATTGCATTCTCTTGGATTTTGTTAACATCTTGTAATCTTTCTTTCAAGTGGAATTTGATTTTAGAAGAGGAAAAAATTGCAAGGGGCAAAATCTGGAAAATATGGTGGTTGTTGAACCTGCAGAATATTGTCCTTGGCCAAAAACTGCTGCACAAGCAGGTCACTGATAGAACCTCTGTGGCGTGGTATGACAACCACATTCTACACACTTTCTTTCCAAGCACTGCTATAAACAATGCAATTGAGCAAGAACGTAATTTAGTGTGTCTGCGTGACAGAGATTAAGGTCTATTTGTAGCAAGTGGCTTCAATTTACATACTTTAGCTCTGTTACCATAGCAACAGTCCTGATACTTTTTGATCAGACCTCGTATAATTCTGAACAAATATAGATGCTTAAAAACTGTAACTTTGCAGATTAATAACTTCTTATGTGTTTTTTAAATGTTCAGTATTTTTTTTATTTTTCTTTGTAAATTATCAGGACTGGTGCTATATCATGTCGGCATTTACTCTTCGAAGTCGCCCTCTTCTTATCCAGTGTCGTTTTCATTGATGCATACATTCTTGTAACTCCTTTTTTGGGGACAGCGAGCATTTGTCGCGTCGCATTCTCTTGATTTTGCTCAGCGTCTTGAAATCTTGTTCCTTTCAAGTGGGATTTGATTTTTGGAAAGTGAAAAAAGTCGCAAGGGGGTGGATCTTGGGAATATGATGGTTGTCGGGCGTGGGGAATATTGAATTTGATGAAAAACTGCTGCACAAGCCATGGTCACTGATGGAAGCTCTGTGATGTGGTTAGGCGACCACACTCTACACCCTTTCCTTCCAAGTGCCGCCATCAACAATGTAAGTGAGCAAGAACTTTTTCTTTTTTTAACTTAGTATATACTCACCAGAGAATTCAAGGTCAGTCAGTCCCAAGCGGCTTTACTGTGCGTACTTTGGCTCCTTAACCATATCAACAGTCCCGATACTTTTTGATCAGTTCTCGTATATTATTTTACATATTTTACAAATGCTTTCTGTTTTGTAAATCTGTGTGTGTGTGTGTGTGTGTGTGTGTGTGTGTGTGCGCGCGCGCGTGTGTTCATCGGGCCTCGCTTCTCCTGCTGGTCACGTGTAAAGCATTTCAGTAAGACAGACATGGTTCTGCTCTCTACGTCCCATTCAGATCCATCTTGATTATGACAATCTCTGGCAGAAAATAGAAACCGTGTTTACTCTCAGAATGGTTTCTCGCGGTAAACAATGCGGAGATTCCCTTACAATTGTGTCGACGCCGGATGAGAATGTCAACGCCCCCATCACCCCCCCAAAAAAAAAAAAAAAAAGAAAAGAATCCACACGGATATATATATATATATATATATATATATATATATATATATATATATATATATATATATATATATGAAACAATACCTTCGATAATAATCCTATTGAATGACACGAATTCAATATGGACGCCACATCTCGGTCCGATTGTACTTCCACGCCCAAACGTTTGTTTACATTCGCAGAGATTTGAGGGTGGGAACGATGTATGTTTACACCGCGAAAACCTAGAGAGAGAGAGAAAAAGAAAGAGAGAAAGAGGGGGTAGGAGAAAGAAAAAAGGATAGACAAAGCGAGAAAAAGAAAAGAGAAAGATAGGGTGGAGGGGGAGAGAGAAATAGACAGACAAAGCGAGAAAAAAGAAATAGAAAGAACGAGATAGAGAGAGAGAGAGAGAGAGAGAGAGAGAGAGTGTGTGTGTGTGTGTGTGTGCGTGTGTGTGTGTGTATGTGAGATAAACAGAAAAAGCGAGAAAAAAGAGAGAGATAGGGAGAGGGTGGAGGGGGAGAGACACAGACAGACGAAGCGAGAAAAAAGAAATAGAAAGAACGAGATAGAGAGAGAGAGAGGGAGAGAGAGGGAGAGAGAGGGAGAGAGAGAGGGAGGGAGAGAGAGAGAGTATGTGTGTGTGTGTGTGATAAACAGAAAAAGCGAGAAAAAAGAAAGAGAAAAAGCGAAAGAGGGTGGTGAGAGAAAGATAAAGAGTGAGAGAGAGAAGCAGACAGACAATGCGAGAAAAAAGGAAAAGAGAAAGAGTGAGAGAGAGAGAGAGAGAGAGAGAGAGGACCGTATTATTTCTTACTAATGTAACCGTTATTTTTGCGTAATTTAGACGACAATTTAGACGAGAGTGAGAGAGAGAGAGGGGGGAAGAGAGAAAGAATTAATATAAGTAAAAGTTTGTCACTTAGCTGATTGATGTTATCTTCAGCATCCCGACTCCAGAGTTTCAAAAGCAAACTTACCTACCCAGTAAAGTGCTCGACGTCTAGATTGCCTAGACGGAGCAAAAAACGCTTACCAATGTTAAATCCTATGAAAGGACGGCTCTTGTCATCACTCGAGTTTCACTCACACGCAATCTTCAGACCAGTCGGACGGACCTTCCAGTCCTCTAAAGATCGCGTGAAACTATATATATATATATATATATATATATATATATAGAGAGAGAGAGAGAGAGAGAGAGAGAGAGATTATAATCTATGTCAACTGGACAAATAATGTAACGAGGATTTCTTAATCGCTGTTGCATGATGATTCTTTCTCTTCTAATGTCATTCTCAAATTTTGCCGCATTTCGTTTTGCTTTTGTTCTTGACATTTTTTTAAACGAAAGACAATTTTTAACTCTGCGTGCGTTATTGCAATCGTCATGGCTGAATGCTGGCTTTCTTTCCATAAAACTGACAACCTTTTCAATAGCTTTTTTAATTTCAGTCCAGGTTTCATCACAATCATGTTTTTTTTATTTCCTTGTTTATTGTGACAGTGTGAACGCTGGAGAATAGTTTCTTTGGAAGATTTTATATCATACAATGTTGACTTTCTTATGAACTTTCACCATCGTCTAGCCTGTTTAAAATTTCCCCTTTTTGCGATAACTCCAAAGTTGTTCTTTTCCTCTTATTCCCATCATCTTTTGTACCAATATTAGACATTAGGGTGAAATAAGCATAAGGAATTATCCGATGTAAATTTCCTGAAAAAAAGAAACTTCAAATCAGTTACATATCACTCAAATAGTTCAAATATGCATATCAAAATCATGTCCGGATATGAGGCACTCCGAATATCCGGGATTACGGATATGAGTGATTCTACTGTTTATATTAATCTTTTCGTATGTTTCTCTTTTATTTTTTCTTCGTGTTTTTTTAATTCTTACTATTCTTCCCTCCCCCCAGCGCCTGTTTCTCGTCTTAGATTCTTTCTTTTGTTTTCCTGAAGAAGAAGTTTAAAAGAACACATTTCAAGAAGAATAGCGGAAAAGTGATTAAAAAAAAATGGCGCATTTAGAGATTAAAACAGTTTATTCAGATCATGGCGACTTTGAATTATGTTTAAATCTTTGTTTAACTCTGACTTTTGCGTTTCTAAGGCCGGATCGGAATCTCTGCAGGAGTTCCACAAAGATCTTAGCTCTGATCTTTGGTCGATAGGCTATGATGGCCAGCGTAAGGAAAAGAGATGGCATAGGAAGCCCCGTTGAGACATGTTTCAACCAAGGATGCGAAATGAGGAGGGATGGGTGTCTGGATAGCATCTTCACTCTTTAAAGGAAGTTCTAATCGCTGAAGAAATGCCGGCTGGGGATCAAGAATCAT